TCCCGAGCGACCACGCTTGGCATCGCCGCGCCTGCGCCGACGAACCAAGGAAGAAATCAGCTGACGCTCGGCGTCCATCCGAGCACCGCGACGCGCCAATAGGGAGCGCTGCGGCAATTCTGTCAATTTTTAAATATTTTTCATTAATTTAAAATTTTAAAAAAAAATTATATTTTAATTTTAACTGTATAGTTCGATAAAAGAAGTCGAGGCAAAGCCAACGATGTAAATTTTATATTTTTTTTTATGTATTGTATGCTCTTAAAATTGAACGGAACTCGAGCACTTGCTTTTTTTTGAAATTTGTAAATTGGTGGCCTCCCGACCAGACCCATCAATCGGGGGGGACGTTCCGATCCAGCAGACTGTTAAAGCGAGTTATCTAGTACGTCGATCGAGGTGCGGCGAGGTGAGCCTGCATTTCTCTTCTTACTTTGCGATTCTGGCTTGTTATGTCTGCAGTTGGAGCAAATAGGCGGTACGGTGAATAAAGCTTTACCGAAAATTTGCTCCAGCTTTGGACCTCTTGGGGTTTCGGTTGCGTGGGACGTGGTGCCCGAGCTGAGGTGCATTACCCCTGCAAACGTGATCCAAGAGTAGCGGCCTTTCCTCGGTGGAAAGCGCGGAGCGAGGTGCGCGAGTTGAGCTGCATCTCTCTGCGAGTTTTACTGAGAAAAGTAGTAGATCTTAGATTTGGTTGGTCTTAGAGATGTATTTTAATTTACCTTCCGAACCATTTTCCCTCGAGTTTCGATCAGAATGCTTGTAAAATTTTAAGAATTAATTATATGTGGAAATTATTGACAAATCTCAAATTAAATAAATACTTGTAAGTTGGAAAACACGCTTTCAACCTTTGACGCAAGTAGTGAAGTAGTGGTGCGCGAGCTGAGCAGCATCAGACGGANCTCGGAGCCAGTGCGATGACTGACGAGCAGGTCGCGGCTTTAAGGGCGGATTTTCGGGGAGGCCCGGCGCAGTAGGCCGTGATGGCGGGCGACCGGGCCAAAACGACGACCAAGGGCCGGGCGGTGGTGGCCCAGGCGGAGGTCCAGGGCAAGGGCCAGGGCAAGGTCCAGGTAGAGGTGGTGGTGGTGGTGGCCAGGGAGGTGCCGGCCCTCAAGAACCTCGAGCACCCCAATCCCTCGGAGCCAGTGCGATGACTGACGAGCAGGTCGCGGCTTTAAGGGCGGATTTTCGGGGAGGCCCGGCGCAGTAGGCCGTGATGGCGGGCGACCGGGCCAAAACGACGACCAAGGGCCGGGCGGTGGTGGCCCAGGCGGAGGTCCAGGGCAAGGGCCAGGGCAAGGTCCAGGTAGAGGTGGTGGTGGTGGTGGCCAGGGAGGTGCCGGCCCTCAAGAACCTCGAGCACCCCAATCCCTCGGAGCCAGTGCGATGACTGACGAGCAGGTCGCGGCTTTAAGGGCGGATTTTCGGGGAGGCCCGGCGCAGTAGGCCGTGATGGCGGGCGACCGGGCCAAAACGACGACCAAGGGCCGGGCGGTGGTGGCCCAGGCGGAGGTCCAGGGCAAGGGCCAGGGCAAGGTCCAGGTAGAGGTGGTGGTGGTGGTGGCCAGGGAGGTGCCGGCCCTCAAGAACCTCGAGCACCCCAATCCCTCGGAGCCAGTGCGATGACTGACGAGCAGGTCGCGGCTTTAAGGGCGGATTTTCGGGGAGGCCCGGCGCAGTAGGCCGTGATGGCGGGCGACCGGGCCAAAACGACGACCAAGGGCCGGGCGGTGGTGGCCCAGGCGGAGGTCCAGGGCAAGGGCCAGGGCAAGGTCCAGGTAGAGGTGGTGGTGGTGGTGGCCAGGGAGGTGCCGGCCCTCAAGAACCTCGAGCACCCCAATCCCTCGGAGCCAGTGCGATGACTGACGAGCAGGTCGCGGCTTTAAGGGCGGATTTTCGGGGAGGCCCGGCGCAGTAGGCCGTGATGGCGGGCGACCGGGCCAAAACGACGACCAAGGGCCGGGCGGTGGTGGCCCAGGCGGAGGTCCAGGGCAAGGGCCAGGGCAAGGTCCAGGTAGAGGTGGTGGTGGTGGTGGCCAGGGAGGTGCCGGCCCTCAAGAACCTCGAGCACCCCAATCCCTCGGAGCCAGTGCGATGACTGACGAGCAGGTCGCGGCTTTAAGGGCGGATTTTCGGGGAGGCCCGGCGCAGTAGGCCGTGATGGCGGGCGACCGGGCCAAAACGACGACCAAGGGCCGGGCGGTGGTGGCCCAGGCGGAGGTCCAGGGCAAGGGCCAGGGCAAGGTCCAGGTAGAGGTGGTGGTGGTGGTGGCCAGGGAGGTGCCGGCCCTCAAGAACCTCGAGCACCCCAATCCCTCGGAGCCAGTGCGATGACTGACGAGCAGGTCGCGGCTTTAAGGGCGGATTTTCGGGGAGGCCCGGCGCAGTAGGCCGTGATGGCGGGCGACCGGGCCAAAACGACGACCAAGGGCCGGGCGGTGGTGGCCCAGGCGGAGGTCCAGGGCAAGGGCCAGGGCAAGGTCCAGGTAGAGGTGGTGGTGGTGGTGGCCAGGGAGGTGCCGGCCCTCAAGAACCTCGAGCACCCCAATCCCTCGGAGCCAGTGCGATGACTGACGAGCAGGTCGCGGCTTTAAGGGCGGATTTTCGGGGAGGCCCGGCGCAGTAGGCCGTGATGGCGGGCGACCGGGCCAAAACGACGACCAAGGGCCGGGCGGTGGTGGCCCAGGCGGAGGTCCAGGGCAAGGGCCAGGGCAAGGTCCAGGTAGAGGTGGTGGTGGTGGTGGCCAGGGAGGTGCCGGCCCTCAAGAACCTCGAGCACCCCAATCCCTCGGAGCCAGTGCGATGACTGACGAGCAGGTCGCGGCTTAAAGGGCGGATTTTCGGGGAGGCCCGGCGCAGTAGGCCGTGATGGCGGGCAACCGGGCCAAAACGACGACCAAGGGCCGGGCGGTGGTGGCCCAGGCGGAGGTCCAGGGCAAGGGCCAGGGCAAGGTCCAGGTAGAGGTGGTGGTGGTGGTGGCCAGGGAGGTGCCGGCCCTCAAGAACCTCGAGCACCCCAATCCCTCGGAGCCAGTGCGATGACTGACGAGCAGGTCGCGGCTTTAAGGGCGGATTTTCGGGGAGGCCCGGCGCAGTGGGCCGTGATGGCGGGCGACCGGGCCAAAACGACGACCAAGGGCCGGGCAGTGGTGGCCCAGGCGGAGGTCCAGGGCAAGGGCCAGGGCAAGGTCCAGGTAGAGGTGGTGGTGGTGGTGGCCAGGGAGGTGCCGGCCCTCAAGAACCTCGAGCACCCCCTGGTGTGCCTCCTGGTGGACCATTCCCTCCACCTCCTCCAGGACCTCACCCTCCTCCTGGGAATCCTCCTCGTCCTCCTGCGCCACCTCAGCCTGCTCCAGGTGGGCCCAGGAGTGCTCCTCTGAATCAGCCAGGGAGCTCAGGTCTGAAATCTACACAAAAGAGAGGCCCAGATCCAGCTACTGCAGAGATGACTCCCTCTGAGACGTCTAGCGACGATGAGAGTCTAGAAGACCAGGTTCGTAAATTGCGAACTAATAGAAAGTCTGTTCCTCTTTCAGATAAGAAGAAAAAGAAACCAGCTAGCCATGCAAAACGCAACAGGACAGAACAGATCGACGAGTAGGAAGTGCACTGTCAAGAACTGTTGGTGTGTTGCTGACAGGTACAATTCGTTCTCCAACAAGGAACTCCTTGAAAAAGCTTCAACTCTTCGCAGTGACAACTTCATAGTCGACACTCGTCTGAGCAACCTAAAAGACAAAAGCACACAAACTGGGCCTCCCGACCAGACCCATCATTCGGGGGACGTTCCGATCCAGCAGAGTGTTAAAGCGAGTAATCTAGTACGTCGATCGAGGTGCGGCGAGGTGAGCCTGCATTTCTCTTCTTACTTTGCGATTCTGGCTTGTTATGTCTGCGGTTGGAGCAAATAGGCGGTACGGTGAATAAAGCTTTACCGAAGATTTGCTCCAGCTTTGGACCTCTTGGGGTTTCGGTTGCGTGGGACGTGGTGCCCGAGCTGAGGTGCATTACCCCTGCAAACGTGATCCAAGAGTAGCGGCCTTTCCTCGGTGGAAAACGCGGAGCGAGGTGCGCGAGTTGAGCTGCATCTCTCTGCGAGTTTTACTGAGAAAAGTAGTAGATCTTAGATATGGTTGGTCTTAGAGATGTATTTTAATTTACCTTCCGAACCATTTTCCCTCGAGTTTCGATCAGAATGCTTGTAAAATTTTAAGAATGAATTATGTGTATATGTGGAAATTATTGACAAATCTCAAATTAAATAAATACTTGTAAGTTGGAAAACACGCTTTCAACCTTTGACGCAAGTAGTGAAGTAGTGGTGCGCGAGCTGAGCAGCATCAGACGGAACTCTGCTAAATTCCCTTTCCAGTTTAAATTTTCTCTCTCTCAATTTCGATTTCACTCATTATTATTTTTTCTATGGCGCCCGAATCCAGGCATCCCACTGAAGTTATCCGGCACCTCGAGTAACGTTGGCATATCTTATACCAGAGGACGTATGTGCCTCTGATGTCCTGGACCTGCTTCGCAGAGAAGGGGGATTTGCCGCGTTACAAGGGGGCCGCCCGCAACTCAAAAATTTCAAATAGTCCACCCTCCTCATGATTAGTGGTGTATGACTTTTGAAAAACCCTGGGGGGGGGGGGGGGCACGAAACGCCCTGCTACTTTTCCTCATCATTATGAGCTTTGACATGCGTTAAACATAACTCCATTTTTACTGGCGGTGGTTAAAAAATCGTCTAAGATGCGATAGAGTGAGCTCAAAATGGGGCAAATGTATTTTTCAAACAACCGGACATGCTTCCCTTTACAAGCCACCATATTCCAATCAATATAAATTCACTCCATACACCTTCAAGCGAGGTTGTAAAACCTCATTCGAGGAAAAATGTCTGTATTCTGTTGATGATTTTTGAGTAATTGCTAATATTCCTGTAAGGGCTTCCTCGAGCTGTATTATATCCTTAGATTACAGTCTTGGTTCAATCTTTCTGTTACTATTTTCTGTTCTTACGAATTTTAAATGAAGGATTATTATTATATGGTTTACTATCTCCGACAACGCTGCCCATTGCTTTCCGATAGTCGTAGATGACAAATATTTATAATTTTCTTCGTTCTATCTGATGCAGAATATAATGTACATAGCCACGTACGCTGCAGCCAATACACAGTATTGTCAATCGAAGAAATTATATTATATCTCCAACGGAGACCCAAGCTGGGACCCGGCGGTATTGATTAACGATATAAGGCTCGATTTCCAGCTAACGCAATATATAGCCGCAACAAAAAAGCACGTTCCCGTGGCAGAGGACCCTCCGAAAGTAGCGACGGTACAGAACGGCGTTAGAGAGGTGGAGGCCCAATCGAGGGGCGAAAGAAGTATGCGGAAAAGATACGTCATCGAAGACGATTTCTATAAACTAGACCGTGATGCTATTCCACTGAAAATCGAAGCAGAAAACGATAAAACAAAACTTCTTGACGGAAAAGAAGTACGAAAGCAGACGCCATTATCATTCCAAGACAGGTGAGTGTTACGAAGGAACGTTACTGTCCCTTTGAACAATTCTACGATACGAATTAAAATTCCGTAGCCGTAAATATTTATAAAATATACATGTTGATATTTATAGGATTAATTATTCGCGAAATGTGACTCAAAATTTTTACGCATCAGATTCTGCAGCATCCATAGCCTCGTCCTGTCTTTAGGGATGCATTTTGAAATGAGATTCTTATTAGACGACATAAATACGTACTTTGACATTTTTGGAGGAGGCAGTCAAACCAAAGACATTTTGTTACCGCAGACATATTTTACTATAGACATTATTTTAATAGGCATTTTCATGTACACATTTTGACTGTAGACCAAAAAAGGAAGCCCTTTTCTTTGTAGCCCTTTTTCTTGTAGACCTACTGTCCGTAAACCGTATTTCCTGTACTAAAAACTTAGGATCTGCACGACTCTTAAATCGTAGCTCCATTGATTGCAGAGGATTTAATAATTTTCATCTGAAAAGCCTTATCTCAGCGGCAGCTGGCAACGACGTAAGATCTTGGCAGCTACATTTGTGACCGATAAAATTTTAAAAACGCGCGTGAGATCTTTTTAACAAATCTACCCTAAGCTGACTTATATGTAAAATATAGCGTTTGTGAGTCTTAGAGAGCATCTAAAGATCAGTGAAAAGATCCAAATATTCAATAATAAGAGAACGAAGTTTACGGTTATCGATGTCATGATATACAGTTTGATTTTGTTTCTTAAATATGAAAATTAAGTTTGAAAAAAAAAAAAAAAAAAAAAAAAAAAAAAAAAAAAAAAAAAAAAAAAAAAAAAAANAAAAAAAAAAAAAAAAAAACACACACTGTAAATGTGATGAAAATAATATTAGTTATTATACATGCATATCCTGCTGACAACACAAATATTTCGAACAAACTGTGCTAAGTGTAGAAGTACCTTTCTTGTTCGAGAAAATTAGAGTTGTGTCCGCAATCCAAAATTTATTTTTCCTCGACTGTCTATCCTATGACGGAGATCTCCCCAAATTCGTAAGGCAAATTCTTGAACTAGGCAACACACCCAATCATGCAAAATAGTGATTGAAAACGATCAATCAATTAGAAAAACTCTACCTTTTGAGCGCCTGAAGAAACCCATTGTGTAATCCTTCCGCTTTGGAACCCCCATATTTTCCCGTCCTTTTCTGGTTCGTGCCGAATCAGAGTTGCGACAAGTTACATTGCAGATCATTTTGACTTCGAAAAACGTATTTTTTTAGTCACGAAAGACAAGCCAGTTGTTTTTCCAATACGCACTAACTCCGGTGACCTAAAGCGCCCAGCCAAGAAGGTCTGCCCACTTCCATTGGATAATCCAACCAATTCATGTTAACTACTTATTTTATTCTCTTTAATTCGATCATCACATAATTGATGCTATTCTTGTCCATCTTCCTTTTGTTTTCAGATCAAGCTCAAATGGAAGACTTCGATCTGTTGAAAGACTTTAATCCCGTCCAAGATGAAGCGATCCTTTCAGATCTTTCAGCGTCAAGGCCCATTGCACCTGCTCCTCGACCCCCAAAGGTCAAGAACGACCCTACCTCCCGACGTAGGACTATTCCTCTGCCTCTGGGAGTTCTTCATGCGCTGAAAGCTAAACAACCGACCAAAAGAAAGTCTACGTCTGGAGAATTACCTATAAATAATAATAGGTAAATAACTAACTTCAAAAAAATACAAAATCCGTATCATTCAACCTCTTTTTCGCGAAAGCAAAATAAATGTCGCGGCATATTTCTGATAAAGTGAATAACATCTTCACTCTATTCGATACCGCCAAAACAGATTTTTAGAGGAGAGCTTTTGCACGTACAAATATGATGCAAGCTCAATAAGCCCCTGTGCAGATGTTATGGCCCTGAGTAGCTGCCTCCTATTCAAACGCCACGACTCACGAGGCAAGACTTCGCTGTCCTGCAGCCTTTTTGAATGAGTGTTTTCCACAGCTCAAATCTGATGAACTGTGTAACTGGGAATCCAACGACGAAGATGGGTTCAGATGAACCTGAAATATGCCTGTTCAAGCTGAATTTAGTTTTTTAGTTCTGAATGATGAATGAATGGGTGAAGTTCAGTTCAGCTTGCCGACGAGGGAACACGGTTTTGGAGGTTAGGAGTGCAGTCGCGAGTTTTTTACTTGTGAATTTGTGAGTTTGTGAATTGTGAAGTGGTGGAATTGTGAATTGTGTATTGAAAATTGATAATTCTCTTCTTGTTTCAGCAAGTAGTAGGGGAATTTTATGAGTAAGTGATTATTGAGTATAATAGTAGTAAAATTATAAGTAAGATTATTGAGGGAGGCAGACAGGAAAGTAATCTAGTAAATAATAAGATAGGCAAGAATAGAGCTGAATGGGATAAGCCGATAGGCTACTTGGAAAAAAAAAACCTCTTGAAGAAGAAAGTTTGCAATAAAGATAAAAAAAAATATCCAAATTGAAGATTAATTACTTTATCTTGTTTTCATAGATATCGCTTTGTTATGATGATCTTTGATAAGTGTTTAAAGTGATATGATAATTAATGTATTAAGTTTGATGTGGTATGTATATTTTCAAAAATAGAACCGCGCTGAGCACCAGAATCTGCACCTACGTACATGCGGCTGATGATGATTCTACTTCATCCTTCCAATCTACACTGAAAAAAAAAAAAAAAAAAAAAAAAAAAAAAAAAAAAAAACACACATTAGATCTAGAGTCCAGACTCTTAAAAACACCGACAAGAAAAAGTACTCTTGATTCAATCAAAATCTAGCTTACATCAAAAACCAAGCCTCTTAATTTAAGCGGATTTCGTTTTGATTCAAGCAAAAATCCGATTGAATCAAGGGTATTTTTTCTTCTCAAGGTTTTCAAGAGTCTGAACTCTAGATCCTATGTGTTTTTTTCCAGTGTACACTTGGACACAGCGGGCGACATTTCTCCTGTACTTTTGCACATACGCTCTCTATTAGGCGACATGCTTTCCTGCGCACTACCACATCCGGCGGAAGTTGAGGCAAAGTTAGTGCTCACCGCGGCTCTGTTTTTCTCCGTGCTCGTTAACTCGAGCCCCGAATTGACACAGTGCCTCGGCAACTTTCGGCAATTTTCTCTGAACGGTATAGAGGACTGGAGACTTTTTGTTCTGGTCGGCACCGCGGCACAGAAACGACCCTAAAGAACCTAGGAACATATGCTAAAAATTTCCAAATCGTTGTGGTAGTAACCCATGTTTGCGAAATGTTAAAAATGCAGACTTTTTGAAGAAAGTTGGCAACAAGACATATGTTGCGTCACCGTTACCATAGAAATGCAGTTTTTAACCATCTTTCCAGTGTGCATCAGAATGGTAGCTTGAGTGGTTTTTTGATTGTCCTTGCTTCGTACATTTTCTACTTTATCATCCCTTTGAAGTCAAGATATCCTCAGTCTCTTATGTTCAGTATTTGTCATTTCAGTAACTGTCATTAAACTACGTGCGTTCTGTAAGTCAATTGTATTATTTCTTATGGTATTATTGCACTAAAGCTCATGTTCTTAGCATGAGATTGGAAGGGGAGATAACCTCATCTTTTTTGGGATAAAACATGGAGAAACAACATACATTGCCTGCGTGAGGAAAATAGGATAACAGCATCAAGGCAGAAAAGTTTGAAAGTTGAGTTGTTCCTCCCTTTTTATTTACATTTTTGACGTGGGTCTCTTTACACCCCCAAGAAGCAACATTTATGCAATTTTTGACGTGGGGCTCCTCTCATCATTTAACTGAATGCTCGAATCTCCAAAATTTCAACAACGACACTGGCTTCGAAAAAATATGGTGAGTTTATTTTACACATTCCGATTTTTCGGGGTTGCCAAACATTTGTAAGCTTTATTCCTCCTCTTGCATTCGCACAAAAATGACCCGTCGTTTAGCCTAAGTTTCCAGTCTCTTCGCGCTAATGTCCTGTTTCGAAGAGTTTTCCGACCGGATTCCTTCAATTAACGGTGTTCCACCCGTTAATTTATCCGGCACGTCTAAATCTGAGCTATTTTCGATGAAAACTTTCAGTACTTCAGCATCCCCGAGTAAGGCAGTTTCTTGTAACGCAGTACGACCTGCCTTGTCTACGAGATCACCCCAAGCTCCGAACTGACAAAGAATTCCAACAACCTTTCCATTTTTTATAATTTCACCGACATTAGTCCTAATGTCGAACTGCAGAGGTAGAAAATAAAATTTCATAAAGCTCGTATAAATTTGACAAAAGTTGAAATTAATTTTTTTTAGAATTATGAATTAAACTTTTGGAGGTCTGAAAGCATTTCAGATGGTCTTCCTGTTGATGCTGCGGTATTATGCTACTTTACTGAAGGTGCCAGACACGAAGGGGGGGGGGGCAAAAAGGGGAGTTTAGAGGAAAAAACCCCGACCTAACCTCTCAACTAAGCGAAAAGATTTGCAACGCGCGGATGTTTTAGGTTTGGGGTAAAAAATTTCAAAATTCAGAATCGCTGTTTCTAGGCGTTTCTAGGCGTTTCTTGGCATCCTGAATGCATCCCCAAGAGTTTCACAAAATTTTATGAAACTTCACGCATGAAATTTAACACGAATTAATGGAGATGTTGCATGTGTGAGGAATTTGCGATTTGACTACTGATATTAATGTAAAAGTTCGCGAGAAACACGATGGTGCTACTGGTTTTCTCTGAAATCAACTCCCAAGCTCAAAACAAGCTCTCAAGTTGAAGCCAAAAAGGAGGGAATATCCCACGCTATCCTCAGAGTCCACCTCTACACGAGGACAAACTCTCCATGCAAAGATAGGGAGCAAATACATTGAAAGGGCTGCCACTTTATTTGGGGACTTCACAACTGAAAACACGACAACCCTGCTAATGTAGGTATTTGCTCCCTATCTTTGCATGGAAAGTTAGTCTTGATGTAGAGGTGGACTCTCAAGATAGCGTGGGAAATTCCCTCCATTTTGGCCTCAACTTGAGAGCTTTGTTTGAGCTTGGGAGTTAATTTCAGAGAAAACCAGTGGCACCATCGTGTTTCTCGCGAACTTTTACATAAGAATCAACAGTCAAATCCCAAATTCCTCACACATGCAACATCACCATTCCATGAAATTTTCCATCTCTGTGTGGAAGGCGAGCGCGGCGGCGGGAACTGTGTCCGATTTCGGCGCGGGGATTATTCAATTTTCGCGACGTCAACGGGCCGAAGCCGAAAGCCGAAAGGCGGAATCCAATCAACTTTAATCGCGGTGGCGTTTGGGGCGGCCGCGATGAAAGGGGCCGGTCCTCCGGGGAGTCGCCATCAGCGTCGCAGGGCGCATGAGTTACGAGTCTGCGCGGAAGCTCCCGGAGGCGCCCGGCGAAAACAAGAGCCGAATCCGACGCTGATGGCTCATTAGCAGATTTTATTCGCGCCAGGAGCCACGACATTCTCGATCGTCCGCGAAGCGGGATCCGCGGATTTCCAATTACTCCATTATCTCTGGGCGCCTCTCACAGCCGTCCTGAGGAAAACGTCGTATGAGCCTCCAGACGTTGCCATATCATCTACGATAAAATACTTATTTTTGAAGATGCTTTTGAAAAAAAAACACACACACCGGTAAAAAAAAACAAGGAGAAACATCCAACATGAATATGTTGGAAAAGCGTGCCGAACAACTGAAATTTCGGAGACATGAGCTTGAATGAATCGCTGAACCAAGAGCCAATAATATCAGCTGTTTTGATATGGCATTCTATCATGGAGTAATGCATAGGGCTCATGTTGTATAGTCAATGGGTACGAAGCACCCATTAAAGTGCGGCGGGAAAAAATATTCTAGATTCAAATCGCTCTAGCGTAAAAAAGGGTTTGTGAAGGATCTGTCAAATGAAATAATACGGTTTTGACCGGAAAATGTTCTCAAGGGTTTCCAATCAGCAGTTCATTCAGTTTTTTGGTAAAAGACCACCAGGGCTTGGCAGTATAACGGTTCAAAGACAAAAAAACGGGTCCGAGGAAAAAATATTTGGACGGCCCGTTGAATAGCATTGGTTTATCGGTGTGCTGTACTATGGTACATCCAAGTGATTTCAAAAAGCGAGCCCTACTGGCACGCTTAAAAACCTATTGGTTCAAGAGTGCAGTTTGTTGTCGCCGGATTTAAGAGTCTAGACTCTTGTTTCAATGCAAAATCCGCTTGAAACAAGAGTTCAAGACTCTTAAATCCGGCGAAAAGAAACTGCACTCTTAAGTCAATGCACCGCGGCATTGGTCCAAGAGGTTTTTTGTTACGAGTGCAGGTTTTCCTTCGTAATTTTCAAGGAAAACATACACAATTTTCCCAGTAGATTTGTTTCCAATTACAGGAAACATGACTACGTCTGAAGGTTCAAACAACGTTTTTCCTTATGCATAATGGACATACTGCAGAAGTGATCTTTATGGAGCATAGAATTATTGGTCATTTCTTGGTTCATTCTTCTTCGCTAGCCACGAATAGGGCCTCCGGGGTTGTGCCGCGTAGCGGCCAGGGGGCAGAGCCCTCCAGTGTTATCATAAATGGTTTTTCTTTCAAGTAACAGTGTTGAAACACGAAATAGGAGGACCCACCG